CCAGAACTCGCCATTTAGATCTCCAAATCCATTCTTATAGGCRTTCCATCCTCGGTAAAAGTTCACCGAACCGTCTTGTCTTTTYTGGAAAACCGTCCACCCTCCTCCCGCGGTCTTTTGGTCACAGTAAACCTGGAAATTGAATGRACKCTTGAKGTCTTGATATGATTATATATTTTTATAGAGAGCTTGGTTTTTATTATATGAGTATATGACGGATTCCTTGAAGAAATATATCTGTTCTTATGTCCCAGCCAGCTGTAAGTCACAACTGGTTCCCAGCGAGAAATTCAGGGAAAAAGAATTCCCTAGGCAAAGTATACTTTCTAAGAATTTTTGCCAGGAAAATAAAAATTTCCTAACTAAAACAATATCAGCCGTTTTTGACCATGAAAACGTTATATAAGCCTTTTTGGACCTTAAAAACGTTTGCCAGGAACAAAATTTTTTTTTAATTAGGAAAGGCGCCAATTTTGCTTGTGAGAATGTTGTTCAAAATGTGAGAAGTAGTTCAAAATCCCTCTCCCAGGAAAAAAATCGTACAAGATCGATACAAGAACAGTTATTTAGAAGAACAGACCCCGTCGGCTCCTCCTGTACGGTCTTTGGGCGCTTGAGAAATTTTTAACCTAATACTGTGATGTGTACTGTATTGGCAAAATGTATGTATTTTAGATATGATTTTATATCAACAACGTGTAAAATGGAAAACTATTATTACCTTGAATCTTCCTTTGCCATCTGGATCGATGGTGTAGACACCGCTTTGTTTAAAACCGCGTTTATAGAGTTCTTCACAGTTCTTGTAGTTGTACACTATATAAAATCAAATTAACTGTTGTTTATAAGTGGATAACTGTAGTGTTCTACTTGATGTTTGAATCAGTTATAGAAATATAATGAACTTAAGTTTAGACGATGCCATTTTCAGCTTGAACAGCTTTATCATTGCAACGATGATCATCTTTTTTGTTAAGATCGTTTTTCTAAGAATGCTTCTCAAAAAATCTGGCACATCATTCGAACCTCATAAAGATGTTAAATCAAATCATTAACTWCATGCATTACAAAACAATACCAACTATTAAGGAATCGGATGATTTCGCCGCAAAAGTACACAGAACTGGCATTGAGTTTCGTAATACCAAGTTAAGTGGCAACGAGAAGTATGGTAAAAAACTGCTGCGATGCACCCTAATAGCTATCATTTAAATTCATTAGCAAAAAAACACAAAAAAACAAAAAAAAAACAAAAACAAAAACAAAAAACTAACTGAATGAAAGAAAGAAAGTGTGTCAACTATACCTTTGCCGCTACCTCCTTTGGATGGGTTTAAATTTCCTTTTACATTTCCATAAATTTCGTTCAGCATGTTCGCCAGTGCCACAAAGTAGATTCGAACATTCTTAGAGTCAGGGGTACGCAGAACGATTGATTTTGACGGRTATGGTTGGCCTTCGTGTACAAACACCAGGCCAACAATCACCAAACAAAAGCCAAAAAACTTCATTTCACTTATGGTTGGACTTGTTCAGTTTTGGTGTAAACTCAACGAGGTTAGTATTGAGACTGTGCTTGATGCTCAGTGTCTTTCTTAACATGTATTCCTAACTTGTTTTTGCTATACATTCTATAAATATC